GCTTCTGAAATCTACTGAATATAAGTAACAAAAACGTGCGCAGTGGCTCGTTAATTCATACCTTGGGAACTTTAGGCAACCTCCTCATCGCTAATTCACTGCCCCCCATAGCTTCCTTCACTAATCCCCAACCGAAACACTTATTCTTCATGTCGCCTTTCGATTTATCTGATGAGCTGCTGCCCATAGCTCAGCATCAGCAATGGCCCTTGCGCACCGCCTCCTCCTCCTTACCCTCGCCGGTTTCAGCCGCAGCGGCGTCCCGCTTGCGCCGCCGCGCGAAAAGTCCCGTGCACGGCGGGCATTTTGCGGAGCGCGGCCGGCGCGGAGGCGCCTCCTCCGTCTCCAGCAACAAGATTGGAGGACCTCTTGAGGTCGGCGGCGACGTGGGCCTCGTCTTTGGCTGGCGAGGCGCAGCACGCGGCCTCGCAGGAGAGCAGGGCCGCGCAGCAGCCGATGGCGGCGGCGAGGGCGGCCTCGTCGCGGGTGAGTGCGGCGGCGGCGGGGGAAGTCGCCATGGGAGTTCCGATGGGGTGGCTACAGTCACCTAAAGTGCGGGGCACTGCGCTAGGCCCTGCTGGGCCTAATTTTCTTCTTTTGTTAACATTTTTATAGTATTTTCGGCAAATTACACAAATATCAAGTGTTTACAAAATAAAATATCCACTTATTTCAAAATGTATTCGCGGATATAAAGATTTTTCATGTCTATTTTTTTGGCATGGTATATCATAAAGATCAAAGTACAAGTCACGTAAAGACCAACATGACTACCTGCCAAGCTCCGTGCCGACGCTGGAGCAGACATCGTCGCAACAAAAAGTCACCATACAAAAGAGATATATTCTTGTATTTTTAAAACAATGTTCTTGTATACCGAATATTTTTCCGTCAGTATAGTAAATTTATGTGTAATTAAAAACAGCTTCCCATGATTTTCAAAATATATAGCATTGTATTGTATGTACTATATATATAAACAATGTGCATGTGAAAAATCTCAGTGCGTCTTATAAAATGTCATCGTCTGCCTAAAAATGTTTCATCAAGTACTTCATAAATATTAATCATGTATTTTATAAATGTTCACGGTCTATTGTAAACTGCTCATCGTGTATATATAAAACGTTCGACTATGTATTAAAAATGTTCAGCATTTATTTTAAAAATGTTCATGTTGTAGTTACAAATTGTTCATCGTGCATGAAAAATGTCCATTATGCATGAAAACTCTTTATTGTGTATTTATGAAAAAAATTATCATGTATTGACAAATGCTCATGAATAAAACAAATATCCATCTTATAATATTAAAAGTTCTACATGAATATAAAAAACTTAATGTGTCATTAAAAGAATGTTCATCCTCTATTTATAAAAAAAATATCGTGTATTTTCAAAGTTCATCATCTATTTAAAAATAATCATAGTGTATTTGTAAGATGTTCAACGTGTATTAATATGTTCATCATATATTTTGAAACATCGTGCATTAAAAAATGTATTTGTTAAAACTTTTTTATTTTATAAGAAAGAAGCAGGTAAAATGTTCAAGTACTATTTGAAATTTAGAAGAAAAAAAATGTGCACAATGAAATGAAATCTTTATATACTTTTTTCCAGGTTAATGTTCATCTAAATAAAAACTATAGTTTAAAAAATGTTGGCATATCTAAATAATTGTTCACACCACTCTTTGAAAAACATATATTTTACCTCCCAGGAATAAAGAAAAGAAGGTAAAAAATCAGAAGACAAAGAAAAAATAACAGAAAAGGAGAAAACCAAGAAAGCAATATAGATACAAAAAGTTAAAAATGAGATAGAAGCAGAAAAAAAATGGAAAGGATAAACAAAAACAAAACAAACATTTAAAGGAAAAAAAGACCAGAGGAAATGCAACTCAAAGAAAACAACATCAAAAACAACAAAAATTGAAGGTGACGCGATACACGCGTCAAAGCGTGACGCGGTGCATCATTTTTTTCTTTTTTTTCTTGCTTTGTGATTTGTTCACTGTTTACGTGTTGTATTTCTAAAAATGCATTGTAACTGAACTATCAACCCAATTCTTAACCTTTAAAAAACCCAATTCTCAATGTTTTCTTTGCAGTTCTTGTCTTGAGTGACTTATTCTGCGGTTCCTACCATGCTATAGTAATAGCAAAATAGTTTGCTTGTACGAACTATCAACCAAATTCACCATGTGTGGAACTATAAGTGTAGGTGCTTTCAACTAATTAATGGAATATATGATGCTTTAACCATTTGAATCTGCCTGGTGATGGTCTTTACCAAGCTAGATCTGCATTGTCGTGGTCGTGGGTGGCGCGAGCTTAGCACCGCGGAAGTAGGAAGTATATATTAGCGATCGATCGCTACGAAACCGATCGAGTAGCTTTGGAGGTTGCATATGACCCTAGATGGAGATGAAGCTAAAAGCAAAGTTGTGCGCCCCGATGATGCTGAAAATTTTCAGTTGTTCACTTTTTTAGTTGAGTCAATCTTGAGGGTCGAATAACTTGCATCGTGTATCAGACATGAGTGTCTGGTGTCTGGCACCGTATTCTGGACATGGTCAGGTCGGAATGTGTTGGCAGTGAATTTTGCAAATGGCCTTGGATTGAGATGATTCAAAAGGCAAAACAGTATGAGGTGAAGAATTTTCATGTTAAACACTTTTCCATTTGAGGTAGTTTTGAAGACATTATCATTTTCGTATAAACATTCGCTTTTTTGATAAAAGCTTATTTTGTTTCTTCGATCCCAGATATGTTGATTGGGAAGGGTGGATTGCAAAGCACCGTTCCGATGGCACCTAATATACGCTGCACAAAGGTTCTGAAACCTTGAGCTAATGCACATCACACATTTATCAGGGACATTGTGTAATTCAATAGGCTCTAGATTTTTGGGTGAGATTCACTACAAGACTTGTAATTTTTATTACCTTTGTTGTTTTTTGTACTGCCATGATTGAAGATGAATAGATTGGTAGTTTCTTGAAAAAAAAGCATCCTGCATCACAGAACCTTTCACACACACATGCCAGCGGGAAAAAACGTGCATAATCGAAATGGGCCGAGAATCCGTGGAGAAAAATGGTTTCGCGGGAACGATGGGCCGTCGGCCCACCTGAGGGCAGCTACTTGACACCACGCTCGCTTCTCTCTGTCGAAGAAAGGGGAAGAAATGACAGAGACCCATCCACACCGCCGCCGACGAACCTCCGCCGACGCTCTATCCATTCTGCTCCCTTCGCGCCTCCCCGTCCTACTCCGTCCCCCTTCGCGCTCGAAGGCTTGAGCGACCGCGGTTTCCTCTCCCCGTGAGCAGGGGAGGGGAGGGGAGAGGAGCACCGGCGGCGACCGCGGCCGAAGCGGGGGGATGTGGAGATGCCGCGCTCAGCGGCGGCGTGGCTGAAGCCGTTACAGTTCTGTCCACCCAGGCATGAAATCCCGAAACACGATGTGAGTCCAAGGTTGAAGTGTGGTGGTTCAGATTGTGAATCCACTTCAGGAGAGTCTCTTCTCAGTACAAGTATATATTCTTCAGCGTGTAGGCTGTTCTGACTGTGTGGTTACTAGGCGAATCTAACTAGGTAATTACCTTTGATATCTGCATTACTTTCGTATAAATTAATGTTCCTTTTTCAGTAAAAGTGAGAGCTAATTTCTTTCTCTGTTGCAAATGTGTTGATTGGGAAGGGATGAACTAGGCATGTTTACAGTTTTGTTATGCTGTGAAAATTCATTGCAGAGACTGGCACCGAATTGCAACATTAGAATATTGTCCCCCTAAGGGGATTTAATTTTGATAGCTACAGTATTTTGTTTGTGTATGATGTATGCAGCAGGGAAGGTAAGCATCAAGTCATACTATTCGATCCCTAACATCTTGGTAAGTAGTAACTTCAACTTCTCTGCAGGCAAGTGTGAGAATATTCATCTTAACTCTCCTTCACATCGCACTTGAGTTTCTGCATCATGGTGGTGTTACCCTGCCAGTGGTCTCATGGTAAGTTATACAACAATGTGCATCATTGTAGATCCATCTGATTTTAATGTTACCAAAAATAGGACAGTTTTAATCGATTTTTTCTTGCACTGTCCAGCTTTTGCACATTGTTTGCATTGGTTACTACAACTCTGCTGAAGGCGATCTATGCTTAGAATACATCAACATTTTCTACTTTGGCCAGCCCTCTGTTCCACACTCCCAATGGCTAGCTTTTGAGAATTTCATATGCTTCTGGGCATGGAAGAGCTAGCCCAGCAGCGCAACAGCGTCTCCATATAGCTTTGTGGACAGACTGTTATTTACGAGGAACTTATTATTACCAGGAACTTAGAAGCCCAACCTCAGAAAATATACGATTAAATGGAACTGATACTCGAAGAGGAAGAGGCAACCAGTGGGCTGGAGAAGGAAGCACTGTATATATACTCCACTCCACTTCCATAGAAGTAGTGTCCTATCCAAAAACCCGCTGCATGCTTTGGTCTTCTGAGAAGAAAGGAAGCAATTACCAGACCAAATCACAAACCCGCTTGCAAAAACCCTCATAAAAAGCCTTTTGTGGCTCTTCCTCTACCTCCATAAATTGGTTTGTACTCTTGTAAAGGTTTGACTTAGGAAATACACCTTCAGCTCCCATGACATCATGGTGGTGCCGGAAACCTTCCAAAGATATCACTCTTCATAGTGGTCCCATGGCGTCTTCAGCTTTATTAGCTTCCTGAGTTCCAACTTAGCCAAACATGAACCACCATATTTTGAAGTATAAAGTTACATACATGAACAAGAAAATGGGGGAAGCTATATATGGCCAACCACGATGGTATATACTTGAACAAGAAAATGAAGAAAAACAAAAAGCAAAACCTACAAATAAATGAGACAATAAACTCTAAGAGCATTAATGGTTTGACATTTCACAAGTTTATGCTTGGCCCCTCCTCCTTCTTCCGGGCTTGGGACCGGCTATGCAAAGATATTAGCTATCTTCTCTTTCTCCGTGGCTGATTTGGTAATGCTTCCAACCTACATATATGAAGTAACTCTCAGAAAAGATATAAGTGGAGTATGCATGGTTATTATTTGAAATGATCAGAAAGATATATCTAGCGCGAATGCAGATTGGTAATGGCTTCTTTTTCTGTTGATTGACAATTGCTGTGATTTACTCTAGAGAGAAAGGAAAGACAAGGTGCCAATAAAGGAGAGAACTAGGTAAGCTGACAGAGTTGAGTACTTAGATAGGGAGCGTACATACCTTGATTCCGGTAGGTGGAGATATACGGCTAGCTGGAAAATGTGATTGGGAAACACATCAGTTTGGGAATCTGGAAAAGGGGGGAAAAGGAGATTGTGAGTTACACAGCTAACTGTCCATGGAGATCAATGCTAATGAATAAATAAATATGCACTTAGTTACCTCCGACTCCAATCCCTCATATCCTGTTGCGTGATATCATGCCTAAGGCAGTTGGGAAGCACATCAATTGCACGCTTTGCTATTTCCTTAGCATTCTTGTAATCTGCAAGTGGAGCCCATAAATAGACTCTGACTTCCTGAAGGAAAGGGAGGTTCCCTAGGCTACCAAAGTCGAAGTCAATGCTAATGCCATCATCATTGGACTGTGCTACGGCTTGGAACTCAAGAGATTCAAGGACCGGCATATCTCCCTCTTGAAACGAACAAGTCGTTGCTTGTGTCTTGAAGACCCTCAGCTTGGGGAATGCACCTACACCGCCGATGGTGTCATGGTGGAGAGCTGACCATGTGACCAACTCAAGGGAAACAAGCTCTCGGAAACTTCCAAAGACCTCCAGGTCTGGACTGTATACATTTAGTTGTAAATGGGAGAGATTGGGAAGAAGCGAGGGATTAATCGTTGCCACCAGCCCGGGTTCTTGATAGGCCATGCGCAGCACACGGAGTTGTGGAGGGAGGATGTTTCGTTCCCAGGGGTTGTCGACATGACTGGAGAATCTGTACACGAGAATAAAATCAATGTCTATGACTTGGATCTTGCTCAGTTTGGCTACAGACTCCGCCCAACTATTCATTGCGATATTACCACCTACAGTCACACTTTTAGAAATGCGGAGCTTCCTCAACTCTGTCAGCTTACCCAGTTCTGTCAAAAAGTTTGAGTGAATACCAACTTCTGCTAGGCATAGCTCTTCTAGACATGTCAAATCTCCGATCCAATACGGCACTTCAATCTTTGTTTCGCTGATGTTCAAGCACTTGAGTTGACTTAGTAGATGAATACTCTCTGGAAGTTTACTTCTGCTTTTCCCAGCCAAGTCCAATACCATCAGGAACTTTAGATATCCTATTTCCTTTGGGAGCTCATGCATACCCATGCTCGCTAATTTCAGGTACCTCAAGTGAACTAACTTCCCAACATGCTCAAGATAATTAGGATTGTGTGAATCAGTGGGGCCATCCAAAGCTAGGACACGCAAAACTTCAAAGCATGAAAGTGATGGCAACATCTCATAACTGCAAATTGCATTAAGTGACCTTGCTTGTAATGTAGATGTGCTAGCCAGAGGTCTGACCCTACGATGAACAACTAGCCTACGAGAGTTGCAATGTGAAGTTGTATATTGCTCGTCACTATCCAATACAGTAACAAAGTTTTCTTCCTTTGACAATAGGCATATCATATCAAGCATTATGTCATGGACACGACAACCAGTTATGATTCCATGATAAGGTGTTTCTACCGGCATTATCATGCTTTTGTTCACCAACTCATTGAAGTACCTTTCACCAATCTCAAATAGTCTTAACCCTGGTTCCTCGTGGATAAAACCTTCAGCGACCCATTTCCATATCAAACTATCTTTCCCAATCAGATGATCTTCAGGATATATGCTCAGATACAATAAGCAAGTCTTTAGGTGACAAGGGAGATCATAATAGCTAAATAAAAGTATTTTTCTTGTGTTTTCCACGTCTTCATTCTCTTCATGCCCAAAACCGATTGATGTGTATACCTTAGACCAAAGCTCCACCGGTTTACTGGCAAGCAAACTAGCTATTGTGATTATAGCCAATGGTACACCACCACATTTATGTAAAATTTTATTGTATATCTCTGACAGTAGATGATTAGGCTGATTTATTTTACCCCCAAATAATCTTCTATGAAATAAATCCTCCGATAAATCACGAGAAAGTGGTTGTAGCCTGTATACTTTACCAGTTCTTGTGGCAACTTCAAGTATACGAGTAGTTGTGATGATCCTGCTTCCACAATTATTACACACCAAAGCGGTCTTGACTAGTTCCCAACTATTTTTATCCCATATATCATCAATGACGACTAAGTACCTGTCATCACCATCCATAACGCAAGAGATATCATAAATTAGGGAAACTATTTTACAAGGCATCCAAGTATGTAAAATATCTTTAAAAGGAGGATGCATGAATGTCAGCCACCACCTCGTTAAGGAATCTAAAGTTGGCATTATTGAATAAAGAAATGGAGGGGTACAGGAGAGAGATATGCATGCACCAGCAGAGGCTGATCCAGTTTATCCACGAGAACTCTATTTCCGATTAACAAAATTTTACAATCCAGATACTTTCATCTTTCAGATGTATTTTTTAATTGACATCTATCATAAGAAGTTCAAGAATATATGAACATGGGCGAACGTTCAACAGTGAGTCCCAACCCAAAGTATAGCAAAGAAGGTAGGAAACTTGATATTATACATTATTCCGCGCAAAAAAAATCATTTTTTGAAAATATACAAGAATGACCGTAGTCCATCCGAACCCATCTATAAGAGATGTGTCAAACATAATTTATCACACTCATTTTTCCGCAGGTGTGACGCTATCTTTGCCCCCATTTACTATTTGATGTATAGTATGAAACTACATAATAGATGCATACCTCTTTATCTCATAGTTCATCAATCAGCTGCCTTTCATCCAACTCCCCATTTACTACTTGAACTATATGAAATTAAATAATAGGGTGTGTACCTCTTTTTCTCAAGTAATACTCGGATTTCATCAATCAGCTGCCTTTCATCCAAACCAGGGTACATTTTCTTGCCAATTCCATAGAGAATGTCGTTGAGAAGTTTCTTCACGCTAGGTTGGCGTCCTACCGGAACAAAAGCACTGCAATTGAACTGTGTTTTGAGCTTATCATATACTGCTTTGGCAAGAGTTGTCTTGCCAAGGCCTCCGAATCCAAAAATAGAGATTGTCTTTAGTTGCTTGGACACATCACCATCCCCGTCACTCAGCATCTTGGTTACCTCATTCAATGAATCATCAATGCCAACGAGCTCTTTTTGGTCCTTGTACAGAGCCAACAGGCGAGGGTCGGCCATGGTTGCAACATTTGGATTAGCAACCACCTCATGGACCCTGTACCGGTCACGCCAGTCAGCTGCTTCCTGAACACTGACCTTGATACTTTTGATCTCGTCGCCGATGGCATGGCGCTTCATGAACTTGGTGAGCAAGCCGCCCATCTTCATCATGAGTTGTTTGAGCATGTGCGGCTTGTCTTCAGGTTCAGGGCCCTCGACATGCACCAGGAACTTGTCGATGATATCCTCTATCCTGTATGAAAGGTCTCTCACCTCGTTAGCCCAGAGCTTGACTAGCTCGTCGAGCTGGTCCCGTGGCACGTCCCCGACCTTGCGGAGGGCAGCGTGCATGCTCTCCAGCCCCTTCTCCAGATGTTTGACATCTTTCTTGACGCTACTCTGCAGTTTGTACTCCTCCTTGAGGAGTTCGCCGAGCTTGGGGATCAGGCTGCCAAGGGCACCTGTTGCATGGTCCATTGCTCGCCCTTAGCAGCTGGGTTTTGGGGTGCAATGGTTATTCCTTTCTTTTTGTGATGAGGGAATGAGTGGCTAGCTAGACTCTATATAGATAGGATAGCACAGCTACAGATGGATAAGCCGGCTACTCTGATTCTGTGTGGACACGATCGAAGTGTTGACATCAAAAGACTCGTTCAACACAAAGTTTCTATTTTGAAGTGTATTCATCCAGGGAAGGTTCATGCTAATTGCTGGAATTTATGTGCACGCCATTTAAGGGCCTCTATTGCTAAAAAAGGAATTTTTCCTAAATTTGTGTTTAAAAATTGCCTGCATTTTCGTGTGATGTAATCATTGAACATCTAAACAACTACCATACGATCTGCAGTCAAGTGGTATTTAGAGGCTCGGAATTTGTGCGTGAGATTCACTCCAGGACTTGTATTTACTTTTGAAGTATATTTGATCGGGGAACATCCAAACATTGAGTACAGACAACAAAGGCGGACCAAGAATTCGACATTGATGTTAACCTTTCAGTACAGATGACTAGGCCACTCATCTAAAGCGACATGGATGTTCTGGATGCTGGTGCTGAAGATGAGGTTACTGTAAGCACAGTTTGGGAACTAGATACGCCTATACGCCTCCACATGATCACAAACGGACACCGATGGCTGCTGTGTAATTTACCCCTTTGCCTAGGAAATTCAGGAAAGAACCCTTCTTGGTTTTTGGAGATTCAGAATTGTACATCTTTTCCTTCAACTTCTTGAGTATACACCTTGGAGAGATCAGCAAAATCAGCAGTCGCTAGGCTACTGTTAGCCATTCATCTGTGGCTACTATCAACCTTCAACTGATTACACCATTCACTAGAGCGACAAGGACAACCTCAATGACATTGTTGATGATAAGATTATCGCGGGTAAACGAGCACATCGATGGAATATTTGCGGTCCAAAAGCAACTTAGGAGAACTGGACTGAAGTACTGAACACCAACACGACTCCCCAAGCAGGTATCAATGGTTGCTATTTACTCCTTGGTTCAAGGTAGGAAATTCAGAAGAGTATCTTTCTCTTTGTTTGGAAATTCAGGGGAGTGTTTTTCTTTCAACTTGTCTAGTGTACACCAAGATCAGCAGCGTGGCTGCTATCAGCTGTGTAATATATTTGTGCCTGCAAGTAAATGTAGGCTCCAGACAAAGTGAGGGCGAAAATAAGTAATGGTTGTGATAAAGAGTGAACTGAAAGTAATTAACATAAAAGTAAATATAAAACAATATCACAAGTTAGAATGTGGAAATGGTAGAGAAAGAAGGCGTTCTCATAGTGTCCAGAATTCCCATTGGTATGTTTCTATCCCAACCTATGCATCAACAAGGTATAGTCTGGATACCTAAGCAACTCTTGATGATTATGTTGGGCGGAGCTAGGTACATAACACGTTCTACTCTAGGTCGACTTTGTGTTATGAGGTTGTGACTAAGGTAATTAAGGGTTCCTCTATGGATGCGGTCTTCTGTAAGAGTTCCCCATTAATCCCTATAAATTGCAAAGATTTGGAGTAAAGGCTTTTACTGTCACCTTGAAATACCTTCACTTCCTACCCCTTACAACGAATGCGATACACTTTGTGGCCTTTCACAGATCTGCCAACAGTATTGGGACACGGCAACGCCGCTGCCGTGGGGCGACGCACATCTCCCGAACGACTGGCACCTAAACCTAGATCAGGTGTCGTGCCTCCTGCCTCGGCGAGCGGCCGCACCCGCCTGCTCGAGATCAACTACCACCACACCCGCCTTCTTCCGGACCTCCTCAACAACTCCAGGTACACCGAGGACTCCCCTCTTTGGGACACATGGTTCCGCGACGAGCACGATCTGCGTCGGCAAACCTTTTTTGTCGTTCATGCTCCGAGCCCGCCATGGGCGTGCTCTGCTAGTCGCACATGTTGTCCCGGCCGGCCCCGGTCATGTGGCTGTGCGTGGGTGCACGGTCTAACGCCGACTCCCTCCCCGTTGTCGTTCCCACCACCATCACCTCCCACCATGACCGTAGAGGAGGAGGAGGAGCTTGTGAGGAGGGTGTCCGTGAGGGAGCACAACCGCGCCGAGTGGTAGGGCCTTGACGAGATGTTGACCTTGTCGGCCGCCGGCAACGTCGCCACACCCAGGCTGGAGGTTAAGGAGGAGGTGTTGGAGGAGCCTCCCATCGCGGCATGGAACCCGGCGTTGGTGGGACAGTCATGTACGTGTCGTCCACGGCACCGGAGATGGCCTCGTGTTTGGGTGTCGAGCAATGGTCACCCTCACCGCAACGACCACGAGTGCTGCAGGAGCCGCCGCGGGGGCGCTCGCCCACCTTTGTCTGCCACCGCCGTACGTCAACCTCGCCATGGAAGGACATCGACGAGTAGGACAGCGGCGACTAAAGACGGGCAGCACGGTGGCGATGGACAACCTGACCTAGGTTTTTATTTTTAATTTCAAGCTTGTTTTCAATGTTCGACCGTGACTGTGGACGTTTAAGTTATATATAGTTTTAAATTATTTGCAATGCCTTTTTTCTTTAAATTTAAATCGAAATGTGAATAAAGTTTTGAACGGCGGCCGCTCATCTGACAAATGACGCAAATGGACCCGCATCATGTCTGTTTTACCAGCGCAAACGAACAAAAATCCGGATAGAATGGACGTTTGAAGGGGTGAGTTGGAGTCATCCTTGTGGTGCCTACCTGCATTGAAGAGTTAAAATGCCATTTGCTGGTCTTAGAATAAAATAAAGTGAGCCAGCCCAGAGGTAGTATCATTTCTCACGACCACTGGTCTTCTTTTATCAGCCGCAGCCAGATCCACCACTCTCCCCTCCCCCAGATCCCTAAATCCCGCCGCCGCCGCCAGCGCCGCCGGCCATAGCATCCCCTCGCCGTCCTCCCTCGATCCCCACCTCGCCCCGGCCATAGCAGCGCCAGCTCGCGGTCTCCTAGCGCCGGCTCTGCCGCTCCGACCCCGGCGCCGCCGACCCTGCGAGCCATGGATCTGGCGACGGGGGCCATGGGCAGCCTCCTCCTCAAGCTCGGCGGCCTCCTTACGGACGAGTACAAGCTGCAGGCCGGAGTCAAGGAAGACGTCCAGTACCTCAAGAGAGAGCTGACCAGCATGTACGCCGCCCTCCGCAAGGTCGGGGACGTGCCGCGGGACGAGCTCGACGTGCAAGTCAAGCTCTGGGCCGACGACGTCAGGGACCTCTCATACAGAATGGAGGACACCATCGACAAGTTCCTAGTGCGCGTCGAGGGCTCCAAGGCTCCCGCCGCCGCCAAGCCGCACAAGCTAAAACGGCTCATGAAGAAGATGGGCGACCTGTTCAGCAAGGGCAAAACCCGCCACGAGATCGCCGACGAGGTCAAAGACATCAAGGCCCGAGTCCAGGAGGCGGCTGACCGGCGTGATAGGTACAAGGTCAACGACGTGGTTGCTAGTCCAGCAGGCTCAGCAACGGTTGATCCTCGCCTATTGGCTCTATACAAGGATAGAAAAGAGCTAGTTGGCATTGATGATTCACTGAATGAGCTGACCAAGATGTTGTCAGATGGGGATGATGATGCGTCCAAGCAACTCAAGATGCTCTCTATTGCTGGATTCGGAGGTCTCGGCAAGACAACTCTTGCCAAAGCAGTGTATGATAAGATCCAAGGGCAATTCGATTATGGCGCTTTTGTTCCAGTAGGACGGAACCCGAGCAGGGTGAAACTTCTTAACGACGTTCTCTTTGGAATTAACAAGCAAATGTACCCTGGGTTGGATGAAAGGCAGCTGATCGACGAACTTCGAGCAGTACTCAAGAACAAGAGGTGTGCACTATATTATACAGTTTTATATAACATCAAGTATTTGATTGATGAAAAAGGCACTGATTTTTGCTTCAGATGTTGTACATTACAGAATGCTTTGGGTAGCCCATGCTAGTTCTCATGTATTTTGTAAATAAAGTAGACTATCATGTTTTCTTACCTTGTTTGCTATCATTTGGGTCTTGAATGGCCGTCAACATTCATATATACAGTATCTTATCTTAGAACATAGTAGAATAATTGTGAATCAAAAATATATCTAATGCATATAAGTATTTAAATTAGGAAATCTAATTTATCACAAATATAATTCTGGACGCTGAAACCAAATCAAACTCTTTTAGTTGTATGTCTCTGTCCTGCAGCTTTCCGTTCTCTAGTTCCTAGTTGGATGATGCCTTAACGAGGTGGTTTGCCATGCATGCTTTCTGTTTTAATCTTTAGCAGTTGCTGATCAGCGCCATGCTAAATTGTTTTACTAATTTGTTGTGTTTTTCTGTTATGCGTATGGATAGGTACTTCATCGTTATTGATGATATATGGGATAAAGAAACATGGGGCATAATCAAGTGTGCTTTTGTGGATAATAATTGCGGAAGCAAGATAATCACAACTACTCGTATTCTCGAAGTAGCCACAGCAACTGGTGAGGTATACATGCTAAAACCTCTTTCTCCGGAGTTATCAGCGGAGTTATTCAATACAAGATTGTTTGGTGGTAAAGGCAAATGCTCTTATGGTCAGCCAACAGAGGCATACGATAAAATTTTACATAGATGTGGTGGTATACCGTTGGCTATAACCACAATGGCTAGCTTGCTTGTTGGTAAACCAGTGGAGTCTTGGTCTAAGGTATACAACTCTATTGGTTTAGGAAATGAAGATAACAAAGATGTCGACATCATGAGAAAGATACTTTTATTCAGCTACTATGATCTGCCTTGCCATCTAAGGACTTGTTTATTGTATCTGAGCATATATCCAGAAGACCATATGATTGAGAAAGATAGTCTGATATGGAAGTGGGTTGCTGAGGGTTTTGTCCAGCAGGAAGCAAAGGTGGGATTATCTGAGACTGGTGAGAGATACTTCAACGAGTTGATAAATAAAAGCATGATACAACCGGTAGAGAGCCCCCTGCATGATGGCATCATAATTGGTTGTCGTGTCCATGATATGGTCCTTGATATGATCAATCTTATAGCAAAGGAAGAAAATTTTGTCATTTTATTAGATAGATATCAGCAAGACACATCTTTAGATAGCAATGTTCGTAGGTTAGCCGTTGGACGAAGACACAACCCTCTGGTTAGCACATGCATGCACCAAGTCAGGTCATTTAATGCCACGTGCTTGGATGAATTTGTTCCACCCCTTTCGTGCTTCCAAGTTTTGCGTGTCCTAGCTCTGGAAGGTGATATTTTATCCAAGCACAACAGTAATTGTCTTGAGAATATTGGAAAGTTAGTTCACCTGAGGTATCTTGGACTAGGGAAGATGGTGGATGTCCTCGAGTTGCCGAAGGAAATTGGGGACCTAAAGTTCTTGGAGATATTGGACTTGGGTTGTGATACACTAGAAGAACTGCCGCAGAGTGTTTGCCAATTAAGTCAACTCAAGTGCCTGCGCTTTGACGGTACGAGAGCAAGAGTGCCAGATTGGATAGGGAACCTGACATCTCTGGAAGAGCTTTTGTTAGGCTGCGTCAACCAGCCTTCAAACTTTGTGAATGAACTGGGCAAGCTGACAGAGTTGAGGAAGCTCCGCATTAGTGAACATTTACGGTTGAACAATGCAATCTTGGTAAAAGCTTGGGCAGAGTCTCTAGCAAAACTGCAGAAGATCCAAGTCCTAGACATTCATCGGGTTTATTTTGATATGTGAAGTAATTGTTAGTTTCTATTCATCATGTAAAAGTCTGTTAAGTACTACGTTATGGTTATTTCTGAATTCAGGCTACATGGAATTTTGTATGTGCATGTAAACCGTATTTCCGAGTCGTGTTTGTATTTCTATATAAATCAGAGAGTAAACAATGAAAAGAAGCAAGTTTTACGCTTCACAAAATTTGTCTCGTTGAGTTCGCACTTGTCCTTGTTCTTTCGTGTGTGCATGTGAAGCTTGAAGAATCAGAAAATTGCCCCAAAATCATCTATATACATTATACATTGTATTTTGTGACGAAGGAAAAAATGAAATCACAAAGAAGGTGTTTTTGTTTGCCTTATGGCATCAAGTAGTGCGTTGCTCTTTGTTTAGTCAGGGAAGAAGCTCAGGTATTGAGATATTTGCTCGTGTGATTCTGTGATTCTGTGATTGCTTCCTTTCTTCACAGAACAAGAGCATATGCAGCAGGTTACTCTCTTGGAAATGATTGGAGTATTACTTCCACCACATTTATGTAAAATTCAGAAGAGTATGTCCCCTTTAACTTTTCCAATTGAAGTTTCATTCCGCTAGGTCTGCACTGAGTATTACAACCACCACATATGCAGCAGGTTCCTCTTCCTCTTTGAGTTTCATTCCGATAGGTCTGCAATGGAGAAGTTGAAGGGAACATACTCGTCTGAATTTCCAGCAAAAAAAGACACTCTTCTGAACTACTACCTCCGTTCCGAATTACTTGTCGCATGTATGGATGTATATAGATGTATTTTAGTTCTAGATACATACATTTCAACGACAAGTAATTTGAAACGGAGGGAGTACTACATAACAATCACAAGCTCTGCTTTGAAAATTTGCCCTGCATCTCTAGAGGGAGGTTCGGCTATAATTTTTGAAAATCTGACATCCGAGCTGTGAAACCAAAAGCTTGTCTGTCAAGAGACAACGAATTTGGCTGTGTGTCCATTTTCAGGTACAAGGAAAGTTCAGCACATAAGTTCAGACCAGAGAGAGAGGCGTCATGTTCTTCCAAACAGCAGGAGAGAGAGAGGTGTCATGTTTTATATTTGCAATAAAGAGAACCATGTTTGAACAAGTCTTGGTATGCCGACACGGTAGATCGTGGGCCTTCGACAACCGATGCTTTTTTGTGGCAACGGATAGGTGTACTGCCGATGCATTTCAGAGGCGAAGCAATAAAGGTTCAGTTACGAAGATGGGATTATGCCTCCCAAATGCCAATAAAAATAGAAGCATGTTTAATTACTGATGAAATCATCGCTTAAATGCAGAGAGATCATACATATGATGAGTAAGTATGAGAGAGTGATATGCCTACAGAAGATTTGAAAGATATACTATATCCCTGCAGCTGATTGTAACAGGGTAATAGCAGAATATATGCCTGCAGCTAACTGAAACAGAGTAAGAGCAGTTTCAGAGATCGGCAGTTTCTCAGTTCATTTATGAATAATTCCCAGTCTTTGATTTTCCCTCGCTTCAAGGTGGTTATACTGGAGATTTAGAACGGTCAGGTTTGAAAGCATTCCAAAAATAGGGAAAACACGTCTTGCAGTGAACCTGATCAGATAGAGGAGCCTGTACACACGCAAAAACAGGATGAAGAAACTCAGACGACAAATCAGTTCCCCAAAAAACCAAGACAAGAAATTTTGTGAAGCGTACAGCTTGCTTCTTTTCTTTGTTTTCTCTGATTCATGTAGAAAATACAAAACACAACTTGTCGCCCAAACACAGCAAGACAATTCAAGACCAACACAACACGACCCGACCCGATACGAATATGGTTTAGACACACATAACGAACTCTAACAAGCTTGAATTCAGAAATAACCACAACTAACAACTAACAACTACTTAGGATATCAAAATAAATCCGTTGAACGTCCAAGACTTTAATCTTCTGCAGTTTTACTAGAGATCCCGCCCAAGCTTTTACCGAGCTCACACTGTTCAACCATAAACATCCACTGATGCGGAGCTTCCTCAACTCTGTCAGCTTGCCCACCTCACTCACAAAGTTTGAAGGCCTATTGACGGAGCCTAACAATAGCTCTTGCAGAGATGTCAGGTTCCCTATCCAATCTGGCACTCTTGCCCTCGTACCGTCAAAGCGCAGGCACTTGAGCTGACTTAACTGGCAAACACTCTGCGGCAGTTCTTCAAGTGTATCACAACCCAAGTCCAATATCTGTAAGAACTTTAGGTCCCCAATTTCCTTTGGTAACTCAAACACATCCACCATCTTCCCTAGTCCAAGATACCTCAGGTGAACTAACTTTCCAAGATGCTCAAGACAACTACTGTTTTGCTCGGATAAAATATCACCTTCAAGAGCTAGGACACGCAAAACTTGGAAGCAGGAAAGCGACGGAAGGAATTCATCCAAGCACATGGTATGAAATGACCTTACTTGGTGCATACTCGTGCTAACCAAAGCGTCCTGTCTCTGTCCAACAGCTAACCTCCGAGCACAGATATATGAAGAATTGTTGTACTCGTATCCATTTAATATGGTGACAAAATTTTCCTCCTTTGCTATAACATTGATCATATCAAGCACCATATCATGGACACGACAACCAATTATGATGCCATCATGCTGGGATCTCTCTACCGGTTGTATCATGTTTTTACTTATCAACTCGTTGAAGTATCTCTCACCAGTCTCATATAATCCTACTTCCGCTTCCTTATGGACAAAACCCTCAGCAACCCACTTCCATATCAGACTATCTTTCTCAATCATACGATCCTCTGGATATATGCTCAGATACAATAAACAAGTCCTTAGATGACAAGGAAGATCAAGGTAGACGAGAGAAAGCATCCTTCTTGCGGTTTGTAGACTGTTTTCATCATTAATACCAACCCCGTTGTACACCTTAGACCAAGACTCCACTGGTTTGCCAACAAGCAGGCCAGCCATTGTGATTATAATCAATGGTACACCACCACATTTATGTAAAATTTTATCGTATGCCTCTGTTGGCCGATCATAAGAGCATTTCCTTTTACCATCAAACAATCTTGTATTGAATAACTCCACAGATAACTCCCGGGAAAGTGGTTTTAGACTGTATACCTCACCAGTCTCTCCGGCGACTTGGAGAAAACGAGTAGTTGTGATTATCCTGCTTCCGCAATTATTATCCACAAAAGCACATTTGAGCATCTCCAATGTACGTACACTCCATATATCATCAACAACAATGAAATACCTGTCCAAGTGCATAAGGGAAAACCATAACAAATTTGTAAAACAATTTAGCAAACGCTAATCAGTAACTGCCAAAGATTAAAACGAAAAACATGCATGGCAAACCACCTCCTTAAGGCATCATTCAATTAAGAACTGGAGAACAGAAAGCTGCAGGAGAGGGACATACAAGAGTTTGATTTGCTTTGGGCGTCCAGAATTCTATTTATGATAAATTAAATATCCTAATTTAAATACTTTTATGCATTAGATATATTTTTAGTTCACAAATTATTGCAACAAGTTCTAAGATACTGCATATTTCAATGTTGATATAATTTCATATAAAAATATATAATAAGGTGGTTACCTCTTGTTCTTGAGTAATCCTCGAAGTTGGTCGATCAGCTGCCGTTCGTCCAACCCTGGGTACATTCGCTTGTTAATTCCAAAGATAATGTCGTTAAGAAGTTTCTTCACGTCCGGGCTCTGTCCTACGGGGACAAAAGCACTACAATCGAACTGCGCTTGGAGCTTATCATACACTGCTTTGGCAAGAGTTGTCTTGCCAACACCTCCAAAGCCGACAATAGAGAGCATCTTGAGTTGCTTGGACACATCACCATCCCCATCTGACAATATATTGGTTACCTCATTCAGTGAATCATCAATGCCAACGAGCTCTTTCCGATCCAGCGGGCGAGGGTCAACCATGGTTGCGCCAGTTGAATAAGCGCCAACCTCGTTGGCCTTGATGTCTTCTGTCTCGCTGGCCATCTTGTGTTGAATCTTGCCCTTGGTGAGCCAATCGCCCATCTTTTTCATGAGACATTGGAGGTTGCCCACATCGGGCTCAAGGCCCTCAACACGCACCAGGAACCTGTCGACCATGTCCTCAATTTCGTATGACATGTCCCTGGCCTTGCCGGCCCAGATCTTGACGTGCAAGTCGGCCTGGTCCCACGGCACGCCGCTGACATTGCGGAGGGCGGCGTACACGCTGGTCAGCTCTCTCTTGAGGCACTGGACGTCTTCCTTGACTCCGGCCTGCAGCTTGTACTCCTCCTTGAGGAGTTCGCCGAGCTTCAGGATGAGGCTGCCCATGGCCCCCGTCTCCACGTCCATGGCTCGCGCGGCTGGTTGCGCCGGGGTCGCCGGGTCGGGGCGGTCGGCGGCGCTGGGGTCGGAGCGGCAGAGCCGGCGTTAGGAGGCCGTGGGATGGCGCTGCTATGGTCGGGGCGAGGACGAGGCGGCGTCTGGCGGTGGGGGGAGGGCGAGGCTGTGCTATAGCCGGCGGTGGTGGGTGCGGCGGCGGAATTTAGGGATCTGGGGGAAGGGGAGTGTGGAGAGCAGAGGGGGAGATCTGGCTGCCTGCCTGCAGTTCCAAGACCAGACCGACAGGGTTATTCATTCAGTCGTCACAAATGATTCCCCACTTCTCCTTTTATTTTACAACTAGCAAAAGAGCCCGTGCGTTGCAACGGGAGAAAAAAAAAATACCAAATGCCTTGCCCAATAAATTAAATTAGTGACGTTGCAACAAAATTATATGCAATTGTGCCTCCGACACGGTTGTCGGTAGGCGTAAGTTGCAATCGAGTCCGAAGAAGTTTGTTGCAATAGTGGCATCCGACTTTACAACAACAGTGGTCAACAAATATGATACAAGCGGGCCTCGCCATAGTGAGGTTGAGGAGGCGCTCAAGAGAGGGTGCCTCGCCGTCGAACATGATGTTCCGGTGCTTCCAAAGAAGCCGGGCGCCAAGTAGCAAGCAGGAGAGCCTTTGCGGGGCGGTGATGGCGCTGCAACGCAGGAGGTCATGCTGCAATCCTGGAACCAGTCGTCGAGTTGAGGAGGCCCAAGTGTGCATCGACACCAAGAGAGGAGCTCATGCTAGAGTTGGCTCGAGAAAGAGCAGCCGACGAGGAGGTGGTGTATGCTCTCAGGCTCCAACCAGTGATCCGACCAGAAACGACATCTCGAGCCATCGCCCGGGACACAATATGTGGAGGCGCACATGACCGCCGAAGCATCAGGGTCGTGCGGGATTGGGAGATGGGACCAAGGGCGGCCATCATCAGTCCGCTGAAGTCAGATCCATTTGGCACAAAGGCAACTTTTCCTACTAAAAAATGGTGGTCCAACTTTGCAGCATGCGGTTTGCCTTAGGGTGACAACAAAAAAGATGCGGTCAGCCTTCCAGCATTGTGTATTACTTGTAGCAGCATTAACCGGGCTTGTAGTATCGCGTGTCCCGTTTGTTGGAGCCACACTCAATTGAAAATACATGTGGGTTCCATGCAAAAAAAAACTAATGTGGATCAACCAGATTTTTTCAGTGGATATACAAACATAAATATTGGCAGTATGAAAAAGCAGCACCGAAAAGATTAGGACTCAGTACGCGCTAATGGCGGCACACGCTGCAGCTTGATTCTCCTTACGGGGCTACACACACAGGGAAACTCAATTAGAGCGAATCAGCACCATGTATGTCCTTCCTCTATTGGGTTAATTAGTTAACTTGCGTGTGTAGTGCATGCCCTTCTTTTATTAGGGGCCTTAATCTTTCCTATTGGCAGGTGCGCCATCAAGCACAATTTATGAGTTTAAATTCTGTTTGTTTCCATACGCATGGATGTTCTTCCTTTATTGGGGGGCTAATCTTTCCTACGCACGGAATTAAATTCCTTCATTTCCATACGCGCATGTCCTTCCTTTATTGATGCACAATCATTCCTATTGTCACCACCGTGTAGATAAATCCCTTCCGTTTTCACACAATAACAACGTCCACGCCTCACCCTCAATCTTTCATGACCAACCTTTGTAGGTTACTATCAATTAGCAAAAGAATTCAAATTTTGCAGACAAGCGTGACCTAGTTCAGGTGGTAGCGGCCTTTTGGTTTGGTGGCGAGGTTGGGAGTTCGACCCCTAACACAGCCAAAATTCAGATTTTGTTTTTGCCTCCCATTAGAGCCTGTTCCGCGGCGGGGTGGGCCTCCTTCCCGGGCCAGGTTCGCGGCGAGGTGGGCTGCTTTCTTTCGGCCGAAACGGTACAAAGAGGTCTCAGAATTAGTACCACCTTGGATAGCAAAAATAATATAGATGAAAAAACTGAAAGCGTAAATTTACGAAAAAAAGCGCATTGTGACGGTGAACCCGGAGACCCAATCCGTGCTTTATTATTAGGGAGAGATATACTCCCTCCGTCACATAACATAAGAGCGTTTTTTACACTAATGACGGAGGGAGTAATAAAGAAGAGCAGTACTAACAGGCATCAAAGTATCGGATAAGCCATTTCGACTCCGAGGCTAACGACGGTCGCCGCCGAACCAGCCCTCAGGCGAGTGCACACAACGCCATGCCCATGGCCATCGGCATCAATCCGCGTACCGAGGAACCGCAAGTACGACCATCACCAACGAGCACTCCCCAAACCGCACCCAGCATCGCCTACTCGGAGCGGAAGCACTGACTCGTCTTAGTTAGGCCTCGAACTGGTCCGCCCGAACACGAGCCCCGGGTCTTGGCCCTCTCCGTGTGAAAGCCCACGCCTTTGGCCCGAACCCAGGAGAAGGGAGGAGTCACCACCACCTGGACCCGCCATTGTACGTCGCCGCTCCAGTGAAGAACGTGCAATTGAAACAATTAAGAACGGAAAAATTATTTGAGTCCCTAACGCTGCCGACGACTGATGCCGCCACCAAGCACCCACCATAGCTCCAGCCGGCCAGGAGCAGAGCAGAGCCCGCACCAGGGGCCCGTGCAGCAGGAGGCTGACCCCGGGCCAATCGCAGCGTCAGGCGCCAAGCCTGCATTTTATCACCGAAGGACGAAGGCACAAGGCAGTGGACAGAGATGGACAATTAGAACTGACACATATATAGACACATGCTGCAATTGTGCTTGCCTATGGCTCTGCTCTCTAAACTCTGAACTCTGCTTGGCATGTAGCTAACCTCCTCTACTCCTCTGCTTTGCTCTGTTTTCTCAGCTGTGAATATTTGCCTGCCGCTTCCTCCGTTTTTGCTCTGTTTTCTCAACTGTGGATATTTGGCTTTAGCTTGAGGTTTCATGCGCCAGGTTGAATCGACTTCGGGCCAGACAATCTTCCTCCTTCCGACCATGGGACTGACGGAGATGCTGCCTGCCTCCTCATGTTAATGGAGGCTGCTACATACCCTCTCTTTCTTTTTGTTAGCAGGGAGAATGCACACTAGACTGTGATATTTTAGATACAACGTCGAATCGACGTCATCAGGATCCATAGCTAGGTACAAACCCAACGCTTGCAGATCAAGCAGTGCTACGGGATGCAGCCGACGCTGGTATTGAGAAACTACCACAGCCACCGCCGCCGGCATAACTATTCGCCTGCCACCTCTCCGGCATATCTCTCTCTACTCCTCTGCTTCAGAGAGACGCCTGCGTGTCAGCACCATATGTGTAGCAGCTCACAGAAATCAGTTTGTTTATTAACTAGCAATCAACTGAATGCAAACTCTTCAACACAATCGCAGCTGCCATATAATTAACAAGTACTCATGACATTATGACATTTCTTGTTCAAATCAAGCTCAACTTATATACAGCTCATCAATCACACACACACAGCACGCTAGGATGCACGTCTCGGCACAAACATCCCTTTTATTACAAATCAACATGATTAAGCAAACCAGCCAGCTTAATCGATCCTTAACACCACGTACACCAAACTGGAGCTGGAGAAGCCATCCAGTGCTGAGTCACACACCAATCCAATCCTACCTATTTTTTTAATGACCTGTGTAGTTGGTTAATAAAGTTTACTGGAGGTGTTAGAAATTTGATGGCTGACATAGTTATAGTTGCTGCTTTAGGTTGGAGCATATGGATAGCTAGAATTGTTGTCTTCAAAAACATGTTTCCTATTACAACCACGGTTTTTCACGTTGATTATCATCTGGACTGGTTTGCAGAAACGAGGCCTACAAAACAAACATCACCTGCGCATGAGGTTACTGTCGCTGGTCGCAATTGGGGTGTTTCGCCAAAAAAGTGGACAGGGGCGGCTGGTGCCTGGGCTGGGCTAATCAGCTCGGGACGGGACTGAGGTTTGCTTTGAGTCATTCAGTGTCAGGTTGGCTTTCTAAGTAGCTGTAGATTGTGTTGCTTCGACAGCTAGGCTGTCTTGTTGAGCCTTTGGACATTGTGCTATCAATTTCTGATGCGCTAATGGTGGGCGCTCAGGTGCTGGGTGTGCCAGACAGCTACGATTGTGAGGACTCGTCTCCTGAAGATGATAAAGTGCTTCTGATAAGTTTGTCCTGAATGCACATGAGTTTGCTTGGATGAATTCAGAGTTGGTGGCTTTCTGCTGTACTGGTGACAGTGTCCACCATGTATGCCGTTGGACATATATTTGGTCGCGTTCGAGTTTAGTGTTTACTTCAGAAAACTTACTCATCGTCCTGTTAGGGCTGGACAGCAACAATGCGCTGCACAAATTCACCGACACGACAAATATGCACACTACACAGCCCCCTTCTCTTGTGATGAACTTTGAGGACAGCTTCAACCAACAAGTAAGCAGCGGAATAACACAAACAACATGCACAAGTGACACAGGATTTAACGTGGAAAAACCTCCTCAACTTGAGGAGTAAAAACCACGGCTGTGGACCGACCGGTCCACACAACTTCACTATGAGAATGATGAGTACAAAGTCTTCTCTAGAACCTCTAGAGAGATTTACAACACACTCTCCACGTTGCCAACCGGCAACAACAACAACAGCCACAAGAGGCAAGATTTCAGCAAAGCAGAGTTTACACAACTTCTGTACCCTCCAGTGTTTTGCAAACTGCTCTTAAACCGCTGAACCAAACAACACCAAATTTGGCAGACAAGTAGACACATGAGTTCCTGAGATCCCCTCCAAAATTCAGCTCAATCGGACATCGTTTGCCTACCCAAACTGTTCGTCTCCCAAAACTACTCTGTTCTGAAACTGCAGCAGTCAGAGCTGACAAAACCACTCTCAAATCTGATGCTCCACTGACCCAATCCTAAAACCAGCTAACCAGATCGAAGTACTCAAAGTAAGGAACAAGCTCACCAAGTTTGGGGTCGA